GTCAAGAAAGGAGAGAAAGCATGGCGATACAACTCGACGCAGGCGTCATGATCATTACGAATGTGCTCCTCAGTATCCTGACATGGAGGACATGTTGCTGGAGTGGATTCGCGAGAAACGGGCCGATGAGATGGCTGTGCATGCACGCGCTATTCGTACGAAAGTGAGAGAAGTACTTTTGGATTTGTATCCTGATGAGGACATCAACTTCCGAGCATCGAAGGGTTGGCTGTCGAGATTTCTCCGCCGGAACGATATGGTCACTCGCCGCATAACTAGTATTGGACAGAAACTGCCTGCCAATGCCCAGCAAGTCGCCAAGACTTTCTTGTCTAGCGTAAGTGCGGCAATAGTAAAGGAGGACGTACATCCTGATGCTGTTGGGAATATGGACGAGAGTCCATTCTGGTTTGACATGACCTCCACCGCAACATACGATTTTGAAGGTGTGAGGACAGTCAAGGTGAAGACAACTGGCTATGAGAAGCTGAGATTTTCCGTTGTCCTGTCAGCTCTGGCCAGTGGCAAGAAATTGAACCCAATGATCATTTTCAAAGGGCTGAAAAACGTCCCTAAAGGACATTTTCCAAGATCAGGTGTGGTGGCGGTGGCAAAGGGTGGCTGCATGACAACTGACATCACGAAGACGTGGATGGACAAGGTGTGGCACGGTCGGCCTGGCAGTATTAGTTTCGGACAAGCACCGCAGCCATGAGAACGAGTGTACGGAGCAAGCTCTATCATGACATCATGCAACGCATGCCTCGCACATACCGGGAGGCATGACCCCATTGCTGCAGCCATGCGACATATCATGGAACAAGTCACTGAAGAGCCTTGTCCGGGAACTGGCTCGAATCAGGAGAGATCGAATTCACGCGCACTGGGAAGCGGAATAGGGCGTCGTACGTTACTGTGGCTGAGTGGGTAGTTTCAAACTGGGAAAAAGCCCCAGCCTCTCTCAACACACAATCTTTTGTGAAGTGTGGCCTAACTCCATCGGAATCAACTGACATTCTCCATTCAGCTATGAAGACGCTACTGGACACTGATGATTTACCAGAAAATGACGTGCAAGTGGTAGTGACTGCAGTGACAGTGAGCCCCACACAGATGACCTGGAGCAGGAGAGTGATCAAACTGATGAAGAATCTGAGGGCAGTGGCAATGTGCAGGACGCAGAGTGCAGCGCTGTTTCAGTGGTGATTGCTGATAGCGAGTGACTTGCCGGCGTGTAGTAGCAATGACTGGAAGAGTTGGTGTACTGTACGTAACGGTGGTTGACTTTCAGTAGAGATGGCAGAGTGGCTTGTCTTCAATGGCCGCATGGTACTTGCTTGATTTTGTTCATGTTGTGGCTTTCGTTTGCCATTATTTAGTTTGCTAATACTTCTATTGTACCGGTATTCCACTTTCGCAATTTTGCAGGGCTAAATTTTCTGCTAGAAATTTTACTTCATTTCACAAAACACATTTTGAATTTTGCCTCAAGTATAACGCCATGGCTTTATAGGTGAGACTGGATTTATAATCGAATACAACGCCATGGCTTTAAAGTAGGTCTGAAAGGAATATTCGAATTATTCGAAATGTGCAGACCGGAATAAGAATATTCTTCGGTAAAGTAGAATAAGAATGTTCGTAAATGTACACAAATTTGCCTTTTTGGTAGAACACCAGGCATATTTGGTGCAAAATACGAGAGTTGCCACCTTCACAATGTGTTACCATCAGCAAGATAAATGATAACATTGTCCTTTTCACACATCTCTCTCGTAATTGGGGTACACACCAGCAAGATTACATGAAAACCAGAGTGTGCAGCTCGGATGGGTTGCTGTCACGGCGGAATTCCGTGATTACATCATTTTAGTGATGTAGTGCGTACAAGCAGGATTCAAGCAGGTCTCTTTCTGCACAACTGCAGCTCAGTTGTACGCACTACGCCATTTCCCGCCTCAGATCTGCGCCAAATATGATGTAATCACGGAATTCCGCCGTGACAGACACCCATAGCAGAAAAGGCCCCAAGCTGCACACTCTGGTTTTCATGTACTCTTGACACCAGTCAATGGTCTATGGTTACCATGGATACAACTAGGTATCCATGGATATTGTACGGTTTAGAATATTCGGAATATTCTTCGTTTCACATGTATCCGGAAAAAGAATATTCGTTCGCTTCATTGAGCATTCGTTTCAGCCCTACTTTCAAGGGGCGGACATACGGAATGAACTATGGCAGAACAGACGAATGACGATTATCCGAGATGCCTGTTTACACTGAATTAAAAGGACAAATATGAGTTTGCTGATTTTCCCTCACCCAAAGCACCATTCAAATCGAAGTAGTGCACAGGATATGAGGCAAAAGGTTGGGCGCCATGGCGTCATTTTGAGGAGCTGGAGTGTGTCTAATTTCTCTGGCACTGACGAAGAGAATGAGAAATAATGGAATATTAATATACATGTATTGTGCTGCGCTGATGAGTTCACAAAGAACGAAACAGCATGCTGTCCGCAGATTGAGTAAATAATGGAATATGTATGTTTTAGATAGATGTGTGGCCGCTCTCGTATTTGAACATACTGCTCATCCAAACCCCCTGGAGACAGCCCCGCGCCCCATCAGGTGTGGATACTAGGCACTCAAAGTACACAGATCAAAGCATAAAGACAGCAGCTACCTTGTTGACAAGACTGGGTGTCTTCTTTTCATGCGGTTCAAGGGTGCACACCACCACATCGATATGGGTCAATGTTACTATTGATTCGTTTCTCGCTCTCAGCGGAACGGGTACTTCTTTTTACCGTACGTGCGCGCGCGCGAATACAAGCCCCCCTTCGAATAGAGCCCGTCCCTCAGAGGCATTCGAAGTAATACAGCCCCGTCTCGAATAAAAGCCCGGGGCTCTAATCGAACGCCCACAGTCCGTACGTTGTAGTGCAGTACATGAACCATGTACGGTATGCACGATCAACACAGTGTGCTTTGCGGATCACTAGATCCATATTGGAGGTACGGGATCGCTCTGGCCCTCTGGGGTCAACGTGGAGACATGCAAAAATGGGAACACACTGCGCCAGAAACGGATGTGTGCAACCAAAGGGGAGCACACCACGAGCTGCAGCACAGCCAGAAACGAGGTGTGAAAAATTGGTGTTTCTATTGAAAAAATAAAGCCCCCTCTCAAATACAGCCCCCCCCCCCCCCTCTGGGTGTCTTCTGGAAAAAAAGAGCCCCGGGGCTTCTATTCGCACCTATACGGTATTTCCTGTCTTACACTTTGAGCCGAAATAGCACATCTAACATGAGAACTTCACCCCAGCATAAATACTCTTCACTGCTGAATGAGAGTTCAGATACTAACGTAAAGTAAAGACACCACCACCACCGCCATCACCACTAGCAGCAGCACAAACACCAACATATACATAGTATACTGCATGATCAGCACTATGCCGAGCCATGAACGATAAGGTTGCAGTTCTCAACTTACCACCGGGCAGGCCTGGGACTGGTGATACCTTCGGTCCAGTGCCACCGAGCATGGGACCAGAGTCATCACCACCGCCTTGTCCCCGACCCCACATTATCCGCAGGCGGCGGCCCTTCAGGATGAGACTGTTGTAGGACTTCTCCGCCGCCGTTTCTGCATTCTTGCGCATGGTGAACGTGACGAATGCACAGTTCTGCTTCTGAACAATGCGGATATCTCGGATCTCGCCAAACTGATAGAAGTGACCGCTGCAAGGGAAAAGAGGGCCATGAAATAAACACGGACATTTGATTTACAAAACAGTCGTTGCTACAGGATAAGCTCCGAAGCAATAAGCACCACAAGTGAACGTCTTCCCGGATCTTGAGAATACATTTCAAAAGTCGACAAACTCTGGAAAGCTTTCAAACTAGGCAACGGGGAAAACCCGTACCAAAATCAGTATGATCATGTGATCTTGAAGCTTTCATGCACCGTTTTCACATGGTTCCTGTAGAGCAGAACCTCATTAGTGGCTGCATGACCAATTCCCTACGCCTGGCAAGCAGGCAAGCAAAAAGGGCTCATGATCATTAAGACTGGTCCATAAAGAACAGTAACACAAGAGACGCAGAAATGGGAAAGAGTGAGCCAGTGACCGACAGAGAGATCTGCGAATGTGCAGGTGTCCAGCAATAACACACCACTAAACTGCAATGCCTCCCTACGCCTTGTGCCATGCGCGCGCGCGCGCGTGTGTGTGTGTGTGTTGGCCGCTAGCCTGCTGCGTACCGTATTCAACCGACCTACCCCATGTCTGTCGGCCCCTCGTATGAGGGGACATGTGACCGTCTTACGGCAATGTTCAGGACAGGACAGGACAGGTGTGTGTGTGTGTGTATGTGGATGCGCGTGCTCACATGGACACAAGCACTACACAGCAGCATGAAACGGCAGGCACTACATTCCAGATTTAATACTGAGAATAGTCTTCGTCTTACCGCAAGTCCGCGTCGCCCACCACATCGCCTAGACCACCAACGTAGAGAGTTGTGATTGTACGGTCCTCCGGTGGGGTAAGCTTGGGCATGCTGGCTGCCTGTCGCATAAGCTTCTCCGCTACTGGGTCGTCTATTCCGTAGTAGCGATCCTTCAGGTTCTGTTTGGATAGGGGGTCGTTAGGATCGCTGGGCATGTCATGTCTGCAGCAATAGTTGTGGCAAGAATAACAATGAAACACAATGAGAAGATGAGCTCTGGCAGCTGTGGAGTACATCAAGTCCACTCAACAGTGGATAGGGAGAGAGCGGGTGGGGTGTCGGCAAACGTTCATCTACGTTACATGCAGCTCTATTGCGAAGCTATGGTACAATAATTTTGCTCATACGGACTGCCATCCTGCCATGATGGCCAGGTCCAGACCCCATTTAACTGCATACGTTAGCTTTTAACAATAATTATTATTACCCTGGTACTTTGGTACCCGGAAAATGACAGCCATCTCTCAAGTACATGTATAGGTACGAATAAGCGGCACGGAGACAATAACTTTAATAAGGCAATACGCAGAATCAGCGAAGCGGACATTGGACGTAGTCACGAACAAAAATAAAATGTATAGGTGGGTGTTGAGAGCCCCCCTGACTCCGGGAGCTGTCTTGCAAAATAGAAGATCAGGGTATCACGACTGGCCAAATATGGCAGTACATGTACCAGTAGCGACTATACACATTGGCCGGCATTAAAGTCAACTATAAATATAGCCTATTAGCACACTTGGATATATTTTGCACCATTGCACAGTGCCTAATTTACCATGTTTAAGCTGTTATTCCCACCGGAAGATCTCAGCAACCAGTGGCAGTCTGATATCGGGAACAGACTGGTCGATTCTGGAACCAAATTCAAAATATTTGACTGCATTGAGGTGCGTGCATTAGTGCAATGAATAAATACTCCTCGATGGACGTAGCTTCTGAATTTAAGATACTGGAACATATGCCCACATACCTGTAAGGGCACTCTTCACCACGTTTACACTCTCCCTTGACCCAGAAGGAGCAGATGTGCGGGCGGTTTCGCTTGTAGTACGGCGTTGTCCGCGTGAGTTTCATGAGCATGTCGGACGCGGCCTGGCTCTTGCCGAGTTTTCCGGCCGGCGTTGTGTTGTCCTGGAGCTCCTTCTCGGCCTGCTGCGTGAAGTACTCCTTGTTGACATCGGTTTTCGGCATGTCGTCCTTCAGCTGCAGTGCATGATCACGTACTTGGGTCGGCAAGCCTGTATGGGCAGCAGGATACACAGATACACTCCTGGTTAAACATGAACTCATAATACCGTAGCTCGCATTGGATTATGATAGCATGTGTGGATATCAGGATACACAGATACACTCCCGGTTAAACACCAACTCGCAATACCGTAGCTTGCATTGGAATATGATAGAGGCTATTCCATGGCCACACTTGTTGATCAACAAGTTACATGATAAGCGGCCATCACATATACAGTACTGCTCAATGAAATCCAGTCGTATCACTCAAGTACGCGCCGGCCGCTGCGTATTCCTAGACCTGCGAACAATGGGCTGCGAAATGATGCAAGGCGCAAACTTGAGCGACACGACTGGATTTCATTGAGCAGCATTGTACTATCTTAGGTGGGAGGTCACGGAATTCCCCTGAAAAAGAGTTGTTGTGCAGATGATTCGCCATGCCAGCTTGGACTGCTTGGATGCAACATAAGGATTTCGAGGTATGGACACAGCAGCATACACTGATTCGAGTATAGATAGTAACGATGGAAAGGACTCACGTACCATACTCAAGATCGAACAGGCATGTCTGGCAGATGTTCTTCAGCTTGCTACACGTCTGGCAAATCTCGGTCTTCTTGTAGCGCATGCGAGGACCGGGGCACCACCGGAACACTGTGAAGGGTCTCTGGCAGATCTACAAGCAACCACAGCGAGGAAAAGGATGAGAACCTACTGCATGCTACATGACGCATGGAAGGACAGCTAATACAAGCCTCTGCTTAGAAGAGTACAGCTCCATCAAAAATTTCAAATCGCAGTAAGCTGCGGTGTTGGAGAGATTGTTATACCTCATTGCTTAGTTAGTAGCTAGGCTACACACAACCTTCCCCATATCTGAACTGTCTTGATCTGGACAAGTCAACTGGGCAGCCTCTGATAACTGCACATGCCCTATGTCCCCATCACCACTGCACTCAACTGCACGCCAATACAATGTCCTGAGTTGCACCGACAGTTCCCAGTACGGACGGGGCTCGATCTCAGAAACACCAAAAACAGGCTGTATTTAGATACTGACAGTTGGGCACTAGTTGTTACACAAGGGGTCATATCCCCCAAAGATAACAAGGCACCATACCATATGAAAAACGGTCCCGCAACGTAGAAATACATGCAGCAGTGAAATCAATCTGTTCCTACCTTGCACTCACGACCATATTTCTCCTTTAGCTGTAATGGGACACGGGGGACACACAGAAAAACATGCAAGAACTGACTGAGCTGATCCATGGTCATTGTCTACGTGACAGAACTTTGTAAGAACTTGCTTTTCAACCTACGTAAAGACATAGACGAACATAACTCCGAGGTCTTCCACCATGACACAAGTACAATTACTATTAATTTAATAGCCACATCATGTAATGCATGTCTAGTATATGCACAAATGCACAGACTCCCACACCAACACACGCATACACACACACACAAACGCACGCACACACACAAACGCACGCACACACACACACGCGCGCATGCGTGCAGACACACACACGTACGATAACACAGTGAAGTAGAGTACTAGTATGTAGACAGGTTGATGACAGGAGTAGGGAGCACGAATTGAGCAGATAGTGGTGTACATACCATACGCAGATACGGGTTATCTCCGAGACATGTCTGACAGAGAATTGGAAAGTCCTGAAACACCAAACACCAAGCACACACGCACACAGATAGAGAGTGTGTGTGCGTGTGAGGGAGCGAAAGAGAGAGAAAGAAAGAGAGAGAGAGATAGAGAGAGAGAGAGAGAGAGAGAGAGAGAGAGAGAGAGAGAGAGAGAGAGTAAGAGAGCAAACACAAACCATCAGGATCAGCATGAAAAGTCATTATACAGGTCTGCTCTCACTTGTCCGTAAACCTCGCTAGTACGTAAAAAATCAAATCCCGCGCCGAAACAGCATCACTCCCATGCACATTTTGTTCTACACAACGTAATCCTACATAGCATAAACCTCGACATAGCGCACGCTATGGCTCTGTCCCCAATGTGCGCACTCTCGATACAACATAGATTCAAGTGCGCGTTACGATCAAGCTGTAGCTGGCCAGTTTAGTCCTATTGTGCATATATTCTGCGGCATTGATTGCATCTGATCTGGCTGTTTGGATCCTGACAGCCTTGTGAAAGACAGCAGCGGGCCTAGTAGCGCATACTAGTAACCGATAGGAGCCAGACTTGTCATGCGGGTGACAGCCTTTTCAGTTACTGTGAGACTCAGTCAGATTGAATTCTTGGCATCCGTAGGAACGCCACGACCCTCGAAAATCTAGGTGCATATACAGCTTCTAACAAGTTGAGTTGATCAGACCCAGCACATGTGTGGTCAAAAGACCGAAATTCCCATTCGTTGCATCCACGTGACAAATAAATTGAAATAATGCAAGGGTAGAGCCTGGTATGTGCACAGTGCAGGCATTGGACGGCCACAAGCATTGGATAGCATACTGCACAAGAAGGGCATCACAACAGCTCAAACAATGAGGCCTGAGCCCCGTTCCCTTAAATTTTTGATGTGGGTTTGCCTCGAAAGTAGTGATTGTAAAATTTGATAGTTCTCAGGGATTGCAAATCAGGTTTTCTTGTGGAAACTCTTTAGGACTGGGCACGTGGAAACAGAGTCTTAGACCTGCTAATCTCATTTTGCCAGTTCTATTCATACTCAGTCTCATTTTCTTCGCTGAAGTTTAGCTTCTCGCATATGTTTGATCACGATAATTATATATTGAACGGCACCTTTCGGCATACTTAGTGGGTTACAAGAAGCACTCCCTATCGTGTAAACTCAGGCCAAAGTCGTCTATTCATTCTTGACATAATTATAAACTTGACAATACTGCTCCGAACCAAAGCCACAGCCACCCTGTTGATGGAAAACACAGCCAATGCCAACAATCTCTCAGGATAATGTACAACAACAGTTTTTACTATTACACGTAGATCTACTAGCTGATCAACGCTGCTACATTGTTACTGTATTGGGGTCTACCTGATGTAATTTCAAGCATCCCTACTTCCCACAAAATAATCATTGAATGGAGAGCATTTTCACCATTTTTCACAGAGACATGCAGTACGCGATCGACCAAAACAACTAGTGCTGTGAATGGATAGCCATGAAGTAAGCATTGAGGCGACAATGAAACACCTTCAGCGCTCAACAGTTCGTGCGCACAGGTTGTGGAACTAATCTTGAGTATAATCAAGAATTGACAACACACTTTTTAGAGAGTTTTCTACTCACTCACCGCAGATTCCCAGTTCTGCCTATTGTAGGTGTTTGCCGATTTTGAAATCGACATCCCTACTGACGGACCACCGAAGCTCCAAAGCTCAACAACATGCGAGCAGATTCAAGTCAAACTACAACAAAACAACGAAGCTTGAAAACGAGCTTTTCTGCTTCAAAAAAAATTACCCTGACTTGATGCGCTCGGCCGGCTTCTAATTCTTCGTCTTCGCCTTCAATTCACTGCACCAGGCCAGGGCCAGGGAGCTAGCTCTACACATACACGTAGATCTATGTGTAGGGCTCCCTGCACTGCACTGCATGCACTGCTTCAGATCGGACGGCATCTTGTAGTCATGGACAACCTGTCACGTGATCAAAACTTGTCAAGGCAACAATCAAACGCAGAACAAGACGTCAAGAGTGACAGCATGATGCGAGCTCTTTAGCGTAGATCTACCCCCGTACCCTAGCAATCATGGCCTTCGCTCTCGATCTCTTCCCATTCGTCGATCCGAATGATTCATTTCCCATCTTTACTCGCAGTACGAGCTGTACCCGCTTTTGCCAGAACTAAGTAGTTAGTTAGTTTTGGATGTTGACAGTCAGTGGCAAAGATCCCCTTTGCTGGAGCACTGCAGTCATGAACTAACTGAGTTGTGTGGATCGTCATTACCGAGGAATTGTTATGCAGCCACGCGGCGTTGCTTTTGCGGAGCGAAGCCGGAGCAAACCGAATACTGTCCGTAACGAGCACGTGTCGTTGACGTTCCAATGACTCGAGAATACAGGCACTATCTGAGAGAGTAAATCTCTACGGTCATCACCGCACGGCGCTGGCTGTACTCGTAGTGACTAGTAGAGGATAGGAAAAAGACGAGGCAAGCAAGCCACGGACATTGTCTTTATAGCGACTTCGCAAGTCGGTAAGGGCGAGCTGCTTGTGCTAGCTCTTTGACCTTGAAGTGATAGTTGAAGTGTTCTTACCCCTAGTCTTTACAGATAAGATATTCGGCTGACACCCGGTTGCCCCCCCCCCCCCCCCCACACACACACACACTGAGTAAGCCGAGAAGCCAACACACTGAGTAAGCCGAGAAGCCAACACGCTGTGTGGACAGTATTTTGCATTATTTGTAGAACTTGTGCACTTACATCATCAGTTGTACTTAAAAAGTATACACGCTGGTGCAAGTGCAGTGCAGCGCTGTGCCACGACTGCCAAATCATCTCAACTGATGATGTAAGAAGTCTTTGCACCCGCTAGAAGATCCGCTGACTCACGTTGTGAAATCATTCGCATAACTTCAGTCTACAGAGGATATGGGATTACATCATCAGTTGAGATGCTTTGGCAAAGTCGCGGCACAGCGGTGCACTAGCCGAGCCGCACTGTACATGTGTACTTGGCGCATACAAGTGGTTCCGCAGATTCCCCACCATGCTATCCTTCGCAGCACCTCAATAGCTAGAGGAATATGGTAGATCTACCTAACGTCAGTGGGAATGCCAAGATGAAATGCTGTCGCAAAACAATAAGACTATGCGGCCGCAGCTTTGAATGAAAGCCTCTTGTTCGTGGCATCGTGATTTGCATGTACATGTACGCAAAACTCGCACCGCGGATGGACAACTTCAAGAAGTAGTTCAGGATATGCCTCTTCTCAAGTTTCCTTACCCCCCCCCCCCTCCCCCGGGTACAATAGATAACTTCACGAGATGCCTGGGGCGTTGGACATTTTGGCTAGGGGTGAAACGAAGGTGTCAAAGGTTTGAAGAACCTTCGTTTTCATTTGAAACAAACCTTCGTTTTCAATTCAAAAGAAGGTCGACACACGATTTCTGCACACACCTGCACTGATCTTCCCTGTATACACGTTTACTGTACTGTAGTTTGTACAGTCGACTAGTTTTGTGTCCACTTGGCTCCAGGTAGGTGCCACTGCAAGTCCATAGTAGGCCACGGACTGCGATTGAGCGTGGCCATTCCCGGCCACAGTGTGCAGAAGTAGTCTTGGGCAGTTTGGGGTGCAAACTGCCACTGCAACTTGAAAGCTATGGATGTGCCAATTGTGGCGACTGCACAGCAAATATGTGCGCAGTCATGTACTTTGTAGGGCACATGCACAGAGTGTGCTTCAAGAGGAACTGTGAACTGGTAAAAGAATCCTTCGACACCTTCGTTCGTTTTTCGTTTTGTTTTCGTTTTTTCGTTTGGCAAATTGAGACCTTCGTTTCACCCCTAATTTTGGCAGTTGCGAAACTGCACCTTGCAAACACTGAGGGCTACAGGTGAAGGCGTGAAGACTTTCCACGCGAACTGTCCATGCCGGTACAGTGTACCAGGCAATGGTTACGTGATTCGCGCATGTCACATTGTGCTGTCTTGGCAACGTGCTATAATGCCACATTTGGCATCACTTGTCTTCTGAAAAGGAGAGTGTTGCCTTGAGTGTTATCTACATCGTTCTAAACTTCTCACTGTAAAAAAAAAAACGGCATGTAGTCCACTGAAAAACAATGGGACGATGAACAATTTCTGAAAGTTTGTAGGCATGTTATGGAAACTGAGAATATTTTACTGTGCGCACTGAATTTGAAAATTGTTGAAATTGTTTCTCCAAGCTCATTGTTGTGAGTTGAATGCTAAATTCCAGTGCCATCATAAATCGGCGCATGGATGTGATTAGGGATCTGTAGAGGTTTCTTCGAATAAATAGCTGGTATTGCTGTCTTATTCGGTGTTCGGCTGTATCCTTGCGTGCCTGCAGTTGACTTGTCACACTGGTAAGGCACCGGCAGCATTCCCTGTTGCCGTAGCGCTCGACGGCACAGTCGGCGGTAACTATGGCGAAGGGACGCGACAAGCAGAGTCGCCTGGAGGCGCAGGCGGAACTCGCCGAGGTTGTAGTTGACCCAGGTATTATTATTATTATTATTTATTTTATTTTTCATCGGAAGCTCAACAGTGCAGTACAGTATGTGCATGACAGAGACGTGGGGCGGAGTTGTGAAATACATGTACATGTATAGTGGTGGACATTCAGGGGGATAGGGCTTCCCCACAAAGTTGAGGACTTAACAGGGGCGTACGCAGGGTTCTTCGGAGGGGGGTGATATCGGCATGCAAGTAACCGTGCGGCGCGTAGATATCACGATATCGGTACTCTATGCGTATGCACGTGCAGTGCGATATGAGAATCTGGGGGGGGGGGTTCGCTCGAACCCCCCCCCCCCCCCCCCCCCTGGGTACGCCCCTGGACTACTCAATAGGCTATGGACAGTATCAACCGTGCACTCATGACTATATACGTTCACCGAACACACATGACAAGCAAGGTCGGTTTAGTATTTCCAAGAACGTTTTCTTGTGATATTCGTCAGTTGGAATACATCACAATCAAGAATAGGGGAATTGCAGCAGAATTCTGGTCAACATTTACATCGCTTTTAGGGTGCAGAACTCCCCCAGAACACATAAGGTAGGGGAATAGAGCTGGGTGTTAAATGATGGCGCAGGTATGGCAGTCCCATTCTTACGATTCCAGCTTGTAGAAGTGCTGCGTGTGCCTGTGGGAACATGCGATCGTCCAACGTGATTGTGCCGTTTCTGCATGATGTGCTCGTAGCTACGTATGTACCGACGGGCAACATCGAACAAGACCTACCCATCCTGTGCCAGCGCGAGGGCGTGCGGTCGGTGACGTGCACGCTCGCACAGCCCGAGCCTGGAGCGGCCCGGCCCCAGGCCACCCCCGAAGCGTCGCCTGCCGCTCCTCCGCCGACGACGGCCAGTCGCGGCAGCAAGGCAGCTCGGGAGAAGCAGGCAGCGGCGGAGGCAGCGGCAGCAGCGGCTCTGCAGGCGCAGGCGGAAGAAGAACCGCCGGACCCGAACGCACCAAAGGTGGGTACCTCACAGTGTGTGCTGATTTACCTTATTTCCCCGATGATAAGTCACTTCGTAGACGTGTTGGAGCTAGGTGTCAGGTCGTCGAATGTCTCAATATCCTTGTCAATTTTGTGCCTTGTTGCACTATCTGACTGTATAAGATCTCGTTACCGTGGCGGACTGTTGTCATAACTCGTAATGTATAGGTCCTTTTCTCTCTACATACTGCGGATGCGAAGGCTAGTTTGTGTGTTTCTGAACATTCAAGCGATGCCGACGCAGATCCCGCGAATTTTATTTATTATTATATACATGTACATGTAAGTCACACTCGATTATAAGTCGCATTTCCATTTTCAGGTTTTAAGCCATCTTGTTTTCATCTATCCACATAAGTAGGATGTCACACTTAACTGTAAGTCGCATCCCCTTCTTTGCCCGAGAAGTTTAGAGTAAAAACGGGTGACTCATATTCGGGGAAATACGGTACTTCACACGGGGTGTAATTGCGCAACTTGATCATGTTCTGGTTTGTCATGACTGACCCAGAAACAAATTCCAAAGCTGCGGCGTTGCATTCAGGCCAACTTTGGCAATTTCTCGAAATTGTTCACTGTCATTGCCGGGTCTGTCATTTTCTCAATAGCTCGGCTGAGATGATAAGATCTATCAGATGTGTTGTGGATGTGATACACAGGTACATCATCCTCTTTATGCTTTTCGTACGTTTGGGAAGCGCACCGAGCAGATATTGTCCATGTGTTTGGCTGTACATGCACTTATAGACATACAAGGAAGTTGACATGAGCAAGATGATTCAGCGCGTGTGCCAAGTGCGCTACGCCAGCGAAGAGGACAGGACGACTCTGGATGAGCTGCGCATATCAAGTAATCACCCACTGATCACAGCGAAATTAGTGAAACTAGTGAAATTCAAAACCCAAACAGTTGTATGCTTGTGGGAGCAGACGCACTAGGCCTATAGGAGGCATATGAGTGTGTGGACTGCATGTATGTAGGTTGATACAGCATGCGACCTGGGGTTTGGTGATTGGGTTGGATTTCATTGACCTCATCTATAGCAAGGAACGGTCGCCCGTAGTCAGTTTTTATCACAGGGGCAGGAAATGTTTGAGACCTCTTGTTTAAGGGAGCTCGGCAGCATGAGGGCAGCACTCATCTCTCCGTCATCGCCCAGGATTAGACGTGCTGGAATCATATTCGATGAATTGTGGAACATCGCCATAACTCACTGACAAGCAAACACCTGAAACCCTGGAAAACTCCGATAGTAGTAGTCCTCGTTCTTGGTGTTCCCAGCATTCCTGAATGGTGTAGGCTAGCAATGCAGAGTGTGCACACTGCATACACATGCACATGCACATGCACTGCACCTTTTACTGCAGCACTCTGAACAGTTAGAGTGGAGGCGATCACTGAGGACACTAGATAAAGGATGTGACTGAGCCTCGGGGGTTTTAGAAGTACAGTTGCCCTATACATGTAGTATAGATGAAGTCCGGCCCAGAGTGCAAAGATGGTGCCCTGGATCAGCTGCAAGCACATCACTGCATACTGCACATGTGTGTGCCGAGCTGCCCTCATGCCACTTCCAGGGTGATATAGGCCGTGCAGGCAGGGGCCGCCAAGTGTACACTGCGAGTCTGATTTCACCCAGCCGCAACAACAAGTACAGGTTGCACATTTGCACTTCGAAGAAGACTTTGCACATTATGCGTATACGCTTTCAAGACGGTAGCACGTATTCATCATCCTGGAGATATTTCGGAACTTGGAACATATCTGTCTTGAGCATCAATCACACGTCCAAAGTATTGCAGCTCACGTGCTTCTACGTGGTAGAGTTTCAATGTGCCTGTCCAGAATTGAGGAGGTCTACCGTGTATAGCAAATGCATGCAGTGCACTTTGAGCAGGCTTACTGCTCGGCACGGAATGTATCCACATGAAGCTAGGAGACGTGTAGACCCTAATTTAGAGCCCTATAGTGATTAAGCTCCACACAGCGTTACATAAGGCACGAGGGCGGGCTTGCCCTTTGTCTGATACGTGTACCGTAAAGTACCGCGAGAGCGCCCCGCCAACTTGTCCTTTCGTGGTCCTGCTAGGTGGCATCCTGTCCGTAGGCCATACGACACGTACCTTGTACTCACACTACACCGCTCTGCGCAGTCAATCCGTTCTCAGTTTACCTTGGAGCTCCACGCACTGATGAACATGCCAAGTATGGCCTTAGTAGAGCAATTTTCTCACACTGTACAAATTCAGTTGCACTCTGCCATGCGATTTTCCTTTCCCTGGCTGTAAAAATCAAGGTGGGGCTCTCTCGCTAGACGGTGTGCTCTCACTGCACTCTATGGTATTCCCAGAGATGGAAAGGTGATAGAGAACCACAGTGAAAACATGTTTCTTTCGCTCAATCTTTCCCTCTCTCCAGAGTGGCGCCTAGAGCCAGCGTACGTGACCGTCTTTACGTCCATGATTCCTCTCTGGAAGCAACTGACACGGCTAGAGTGAGTGGCGTACTTTCAACCCCCTGTATTTGCACAGCATACCACTGTGCATTGTTCTGAGAGACTGCTAGGGGGCTTGACCCGCGAGTGTGAGTGTGCTGTCGCATGTGTGTCTTGCGGGATTGTGCTTTGCCCAAATGGTAGTAGTGATGGTGGTGGTGCTGGTGCTGCTGCTGCTGGTGGTGGTGGTGGTGGTGGTGGTTGTGTGTGTGTGTGTGTGTGTGTGTGTGTGTGTGTGTGAGAGAGAGAGTGTGTGTGTTAGAGAAAGAGAGAGGGGGGGGGGGGGGGAGGAGAGTTGGAACTGCCGGGCCATGCTTTGTTCGTTGGACCAGATTTCTGTTGCCGGCCCGGACACAATTTTATTGGTTAGGGGCCGTCCGTAAATATCGATGTTTTTTTCAAGACGATATTTGTTCATTTCTCCCCAGACCCCCTCCCTCCCCCCTCAAAACGAACATACACATGTTTATGCAAGGGATCGATATTTTTTTAATGAAGTTCAATTTCCTCATGAAACGTGACCAGCTGCCACTCTAATTTCACCATACACCTAGGTTTATGTTGCCACGGTCGCACGACCTTGCCATGGCTATGCTCACGAGGTTGACTTTCACTTTGTGTAGGTCATAAACTACATATATAGTACATGTTCGAACAGCACCCGTCCATAGATAGAGTTCGATATTTTTTCTGCAAAGACGAGACGAACAGGGCCCAAACCCCCTCCCCCCCAAACGAACGAATATCTTCTCTAAAAAAACATCGATATTTGTGGACGACCCCTTAGGGTAAAATTCTTTCTTTTTGTGCACCATCTCCTTTCTGTCTTTTCTTCCATCGCACCACCCATGCATGCTGTGCTGTCCAGACTTGTCAACAATCAGCTATGCAGCAGCTCAATACTCAACATCATCACCTCCTTGAAGAGTGTAGCAACACCTAACCCTCTCAGGTATGCTGCATTCTACGGCCAGAAGCAGTTTTATAGATTGGTCCCGGCGGCCATACCCTAGCCTTTCCTACTTTGTGTATGATACAGAGGGTATACACCCTCTCGGCAGCAAACACACGTTGGTAGCCGAAGAGTTGGTCCGGCCATGGCCTGACCAGTCGGACCGGTTCCGCCGGGCCTGCATAAAAATGGTGCATGCACCGTTGAATGCTTGCCGGGAGCTGCAGTTGACTCCCACTTCTAGCGAACTTGCAAACGGCGAAATACGAACTTGCACAGCAAATGTTCCATGCCATATGTGACGTGTTACTTATATGGTATGAGTGCATTTAAAGAATGTAGACTGCAAAGAACTACTAGTAGTTCTCCTGCACACTGATATTAATTATATCAGGAGCCGGCTTTGTGTAGTATCATTCTATCGCTTGCTAGGTTCGGGATGCTCGGCCCTATTTCAAAACAGGTTTTTTTTTTTTAAATATTTATTTATTTGTTTGAGGGAAAGGTGCAAATCAATGTTGATATTCTATGGATGTGATTGTGCGGTTTGTTTATACGTCCCAGGTACCTCAGCCTGGACGGAAACCCGGTTTGCGACGATCGAATCCTCAGCAGTGTGTTGACAGAGCCGTTCAGGTAAGCTGCATGTGCGATCAGTATAGACCAGCCAACCAGACTCAACTCGAGATACAGTTCCCTGGTTTGTTCAATACAACAGCACTGGCTGAACACACATCAATCCCCGTTGCTCGGTGCGTGCGTGTGTGTGTGTGTGTGTGTGTGTATGTGTGCGCGCGCATGCGCGCATGTGTGTGTGTGTGTGTGTGTGTGTGTGTGTGTGTGTGTGTGTGTGTGTGTGTGTGTGTGTGTGTGTGCGTAAATAGGGATTCACTGGCCAGAAAAAGTCACTTCAGACAGCTGTGTGGTGGATACCAGGCTAAAAATAGTGGCGGTCAATTCATCAGCCTTGCAAGCTGTTGAATGGTGTAATCCCAGCACAAGTTGCTATGTCTAACATAGCTGTTCGCTATCATCGCTTCCGCGATGGGCACGTCTGAGGTCTGAGGTAGGGATGTCAGCGAACGCACTGCGCAGGCCTCTG